AAAAAAAAAAAAAAAAATCGTCACAAACCTTTTCTTTAAAAATTTGCATTTATAATCAAGTAATTTGCACAAAGTCATGACTTTGTACTGTTGAAATTACGAATTCTTTAATGCTGTAACCTATTTTAATAAGCTTACTATGCTTGAATGCTTTTAACCATTTATTATGGCTAATCACTAACTTATATAACTTTGGAAAATTGAAACAAGAAGTAAAATAAATCTTTGGCTTATTACAATAGTAAATCGTTGAATATACGCAAGAGTGTAAGTTTTGACTTACTAATAAGTATTTTCGGAAAGTGCGCAATTACGAGAATATAAATATTACTTTGGTAGTGAATTGTTTCGATTTGCTTCATGTTCAAAAGTAAACAAATCAAAAAGAAAATTACTGATAAATTTAAAGGGACAATGAACTTTTTTCTCAGACTGGAAGATTAGATTCTAATTTTAAAGGTTTAGATGAGATAAAAGTAACTCAGTCTACCTTTATTTGTATTATTTTCACCCGAACAAGTTGGACTACTACAAATTTTTTACACAATAAAAATTATATGCATTGCATTTACGATTTTTTGTCATAAAGCATATCTTTCTGCCTCATATATCAGAAGCAAAACTTAAATTTGCTATATACAAATATTCAGCTAAAAAGTAATCCTCAGGCAAAAAATGAACGAGCTCAACTTTCCAGGTTCATAAGAAGTAGTTTTTATTTGACAACGAAATTATCCTGCGCAAGAAGACTAAGTCAATTTGTCATTTCCTCTCCTACATCTTGCTAATCATTTGAATATACAACAACATGATGGAACCTATTACCGCAATATTTAACAGGTATGTAAAAAATAGCAAACTGAAAGTATATGAACGGAACTGAAAAAATGAGTTAGACTAAAAAAGCAGTCAGTTCATTGCAAATTCCTTCACTTCTTTATGCCTCTACTGAATTCGGCTCCATATTGGAAACCAATCCTACTACTAACATTACAAGCTACTTGCTTATGGTAAAAATATATTTCTGACTACTTCTTCCATTACTGTCCTCTAATTGTATAGTACTTGTACCATAAACAGCAACCTCCTTAACGATATAGATCTTTTCATTGCTATTACTACTATTGATACTTTTTGTCTACTCTTAATTTTCAGTACACATAAAAAACCACTTTTTAGTATATCACTTCATACTACAGCAGAATGAAATATTCTCTGATGTGAATATCAACACGACATTTGCATGAAGGTGAAAAAATAATCAGAGAGTTTGATTTGCACCGAGATATAAATTGTACTCCATATCTTCATTCCACAAACTTTATCATTAATACAATACAAACACGTATAACAAATACGGGAAATATTTACACTGCTGCTTTTACATATGTCATCAACAAAACCGCAAATCAGCATTAAATTCCTCATACATTGTTCAAAAAATACAGCTAAATTGCTTCTGCAAGGCAAAAGAATTTAAAAACTGTGAAAGCAACAAAATCTAAAAAATATCAACACTGCGGTATTTTACTATCAAGCAATTATGAGCAACAAACTAATATTATTTAATTTATAAAATTTAGCTTAATTAATAAATTCTAGTCAAGTCTATGCAGTGATATATTGAGAACGAATTTCAGCTTAGAAAATAAATTTGCATTTCATAAAGTGAAATAGTGCAGAAGAGGGAAAATAATTATTTGACCCTCCTATTCCGCATTTAGCATGGAAAGACTGCTACGTAGTCAAAATGTGCACAGTTAAAAATGACCTATCTGAAAAATACGAAACTTTAAAAAATATTTTACAAAAAGTAGGAATTAACTACTAGTCACAAAAGTTTTATTTCTGTACAAATAATTCAAATTTTTGCCTTGAATAGCAATCTACCTTTGCCAGCCATATATCAACATTCATAAATGAAAACTGTACTCCACTTTCATATTTATGATAGTTGTTTCAAGAAATAAACAGAGCCGAAATGCGATTTCAGAAAAACATTAATATTAATAATCTTGCATAAACAGACCAATCCCTTTCCCACGAACAAGTAGAAATAGAACAACAACAGTTTGATATTTTCCACTCTTTAGAAAGACGTATTTCTACAAGTCAAATGATTTTTGCCATTACAACTATAGCCTTAAACACATATCTGTCTAAACGTATATAATTTTTAAATCTCAAAATAATTAAAACTTATCAATATTATAAAATTTTCCTCTTAAAATTTAATTCTTTGTAAGAATTCTTAGTTTGGCAAACAGAACAAGAACTAAAAATACCTAAACAATAATGTTTTCTTTTTTTTGCCTTTTGTCCTAGTACAAACTACGCAGCTATTCTTAAACTAAACAAAAATATGAAGCACAGAATTCCTACATCTGCTGCTATGGAACTCGAACATTGTTCACAAAACGCTGTAATTCAGCATTTGGATTTATCGCCACGCTACTAACATCCGCTTCTTCAGGCGCTCCTGTCACTTGAGGTTTCATAAGGTGCAAATTTTCGGAAGAATTATTATTAAGCAAAATTCGGTGCCGAAGTTTTGACACTTTCACTGTAACATTGTCGCCAATTTCGTAAGAAATAATAGCGCATCCAATGATATCTCCACCTTGTAATTTATTTGATAAATACCAAATATTCTTGCGAATTGTTGAAGGCCCTATTGTATTACCATGACAATAGTACTGACGATGTAGAATGTAATCATATTCTTGCGGTAAAGTATACACCTGCCCGTATTGTTTGATATGAGTTACTACTTTTCCTTTTTTGACCATATATTTCCGAGATTTCATGTGAGCAGTAAAGCGACATGTCCAACTTCCTAGAAATATATATAACATAACTTCTGCAAATGTAATCGAAAGCTTTAGAGAAAATTTTAAAGTATTAAATAACTTTTCGCATAATTAAAATCATGTTCTAACAACTGCTAATGCACTACAGGTTAGAAATATTATGTAAAGCAATATTTCAATAGGACAATAGAAATAAACAGCAAATTAGTATATAAATGTATAGTCATCAAATAATGATATAGAGATTTACCCAAATTGTCAGCTGTAAGATCTCTAAGAGGTACTGCTCGTGTATCTACAAGAAATGATATTTTACCACCTTCCTTACCAAGAAATATATTAGGTACCTTTTGGCATACGTATGTATTGCTGAAAGAAGTAATAATTAAATTTCTTGTCATTTTAAGCAATTATTTAAAAGCATATGCCGTCTTTATTTCTGCAAAATATTTATTATATATTTGCTTACTATGCAAAATTCATTAATATTGATTAAGATATTGCATAATACCTATCAGGTTTTAACATTGACATAATTGGTACTGCAGATGCAGTATTATAATAAATATAATTGTAGGCAACACAATCGCTCGTAGACTCACGTCCTCGTGGCTCGATAGGTTCTCTAGAAACAGTTAACTGTTTAACGTACGTAATGTGTAAATATATAAAAATGTGTCGCATATAGAGTTGCAGCAAGGAAGTGCTAGTCATAGTTGCGAGATTAATAATTTTAGTATTCATTTGAATACTTTTTTTTCTAAAATGATCGGATTTCCAAAATAAAATCACGAACAAATGACTAACTCCATGATATCTTCAGTGCTTTTGGAGCTTATTCCATCATTCATATACATTTTGCGTTTTCTTGAATCATAAGCAGTACCACCATTTTCCTGTAAGTAAATTTATCAATAAATGTTAGTGATGAATCATTAAATAATGGAAATCATTTGACTATGCTCGTAAGCAGTACTTTTCTATCGTCATATTTTTTTCATATTTCAGTTACACAAGTCATTTCATATCGTCTTTTACATGAAATAATATGATCTCACTAGGGAATCAAAAACACATACGAATATATAAAAATAGATGCTGAACTTACTTTAAGGAATTGCGGTAACTGTACATTCTGCGTGGCGGCTGTCGCAGCCGTCACATCAGTACAAGCAACGCTACTAGTTGCAGTGTAAACTTCCGCTAAAATTGCGCTTTCCGATGGATATGAGACTACTGTCGACGGTACAGTAAGAGAAGTTGTACCAGCAGAAATCGCATGCAACGGTAAAGTAGTGGCATTGCTATTTGTATTTCGGAGACAATTTAATCCATCGTAGATAGGCGCCAATACATCTGTCATTACACTGCGTACTTCTGTTATCACTTCTCGAACGATTTCTTTTACAACGGGAGCCATTTGGGCTCGTACTTCAGTAGCTATGATTACCTTCAACTCATCATTCATTTCCACCTTTGCTTCTCCGTTGCCATTCCTCATCTGATGTTCTAAACTATTTTGCTTCTCTATCACATAATTTCTAACAATGATGCACTGTTCTTGGTTTATTTTATAAATACGGGAACCAAAAAAAAAATTGAAATTTTTATGAAATAAAATGAAAAATGGCGCTATATTTATTTCGAATTTCGTTTTCAGTAAAATATGCAGACTAATTTCACTCGTGCCGTAGCCTTCATGAAATACTTCAGAGCAGCAAATTTATGAGGAAATTAATGAAAAAGTGGAAGTAATAGATACTTCATAAATAAGAAATGCTGTTATGAAATCATTTGAATCTATCTATTTAAATGTTTCTTCACTACTTCAAGTTTTTATAATAGTAGTTCTCATTCATGAGAAATGTTATAAACCTATTATAAAAAACATTCAGATAGTTCTGTTACTTTAGAAAGTAGCATTACGTAATTAAAGTGAAATAAGCAGTAATAAGTTGGCATAGCAGTTCACTTCATAAGAATGATTTCTCCTTACAAAAATTCATTTATATGAACTTGAAATGCAAACTTATTCTTGGTTGAGAATTCCGCCAATTTTTTCAGACAGAAACTTAAGTAATGCTATGAACGTAAGCGCTTCAATAAATGAATAGCGCGTCCAGACTTCTAAAGAAATACGGGACACAACACCAAACGCTAAAAACTGACAAAAACTAAAACTATTCAACAGTTCAGCGACTTTATGGAGAGGCAACTGTGATCGAATTTCACTTTAAGATTACTTCGAAAAGTAATCTCAAAGAGCAGCCTCAGACATTATCTGGTAATCTTTCATCGACAGACAAAGCCAAATACCGCACGATGATGTGGATATATACAGAAACTATGCGTTCAGCATGCAAGTTCATATATGCGCATATGCATTTATAAAACACACATGTACACACAGACACAACAATACTGATACCAACATATATAAATATATAAAAACATATATGCGCTTTTACACATCGCATGTGCACACACACACACACACATACACTCACAGATACACACGCACACACCCACACACGCACACACTCACATACACACACACTCACATACACACACATCCAAGATAGACAATCGAGGAAATATACCTATACTCTGCAAGCACTAAGAGACGCACAGACACACAACCACTCAAATATGCAGGCCTTTCAATAATACTACGCGCCTAAGGACACACACACAACCGATATATACGTCGTAGCCAAAAGTCTTCCATAAATGCATAACAGATTAATGTCCGAGATATAAGCCCTGTAATACATGAACGCAACAGGTGTACATGCACAAAAATCCGTACTTACTGTTCAGAATAAGATTTATGACCTGCACACATAACTTACAAATATGAACACATCGCGTCTGAACATATTTGAGAACATACGTAAATTTCGAAAAATGGTCGGAATCACTATAGCATACCTGAATAGCGTGTACATACATAATATATATACAGACACATGCCAATCCATTTACAAGAACACACATATGGTGGTTAGTTGAATTTGCAGACACAGACATTCTTAAATACATCAGCGTATGCAGAGTTACACACACGCGTTCACACCTACACACAGACTTATGAAAACACATCCACGCGCACGCAGACTTAAACACACACGCACAGACATACACGATAGGAGTTATGGAAAGGTAGACGGACAGACATGGCACACTCTGTGGAAGACAGACAGACAGACACATGCACACACATACACACACATAGTGAAGTTGATTGATTCGGGGTTGCATTCGAGAATTGTTTTGGATGAAATTTGAAAAGAGAAAAGGTGGAAATGATAAGTTATGGAAAAACGGAAGAGGGATTTGCGTATTGTTCGTAATAGCGGAAGTAAACCATTGAAATGGGAAATTATTTCGAAGTATTAAACATCAACACTTCACGCGATTGACGTGAGTTCATGCACTGTTGGAAATTCATTTTTATCATCTTTTATACTCGCATAATAAATTAAGCACGTGATATACGTAATGTAAGCAAGCACTAAATATTAACTCTATCATTCAAGAACAATTCTGATTATTAAAAAAGTTTAACCTTAATATTCTAACGCATGACATGATGTCATGGTGATGGTGATGAAAACAGATGGAATTCTAAGACGTAACACAACACAGAAAAATGACTGCTTATTGATTTGATTGAATTACTCAAAACAGTTTAGACTGAATGAGTACCAAATGGACTTATTTATCAAAGACACAGATGCGACATATTATTTCTATTGCTAGCCATTCAAAAAACAAAATTGAGTGCACTGGCTGAGAAATCTATCAGCTGACTTTTGAGCGACCTCACTGCGAGTGTGAGTACAGATTTTTGTATTTAAAGAGCATAGACAAAAGAATGAAGTGTGGAACTATAAGCGACTCTCTCCTTGTACTGCTCTCAGAGAAGACATTCAACTGCTTTGGCGCCACTCATTTCTATCCTTCTTTGCCCGGTTGCTTTCCGTGAACAATCTTAAGCCTTCCTTAGCTGATTAATCAATATCATTCTGTCACACATTTTAACTGCCAGCGTAAGTACGTATCAACTCGTAAATGTTAACAATGTATCATCTTCATCCTTTTCCTGTAGAGTACGATTGCTTGCAAAGATTTGTTTTCTATGAGATTTACAAAAAAAGTGCCCATTACACGGCATCATAAATTTCATCGTCCAATCGAACTTAATATTTCTGACAAAAGTAAAGATTGTTCATTATTAAGACGCGTCTGTAAATTGATTACATGAAACACGAACTTTTTACACAAGATACCAATTGAGAGTCATCTCCTCGAATATCCTGCAGGAATTTTAGAATTATTTTCCGTAGCTGAAGATGCATTTGTACATAATATATATTTTGTTTGACATAAAGGTTAATCTTCTTTTTTTGCTTTATTGATTCTGGCGCTAGATCGTATTTAATTGTACAGCGCTCAGATTTGTTGCACTGATCTATTGCCTCAACCTCGTAGAATCCATAGCAGTAATCGACTGAGATGCCTTCGAGTATTTTCTTGAGCACTACCAGTTGAATATAAGCCTCGACGTGATCAGGTATACTGATCTCCCTCGCATAGCGCTAATAGAAGTTCGTTACAATCCTATCCCAAGTGATGACATATGGAGTTATTTTTGTCATACATCTCATTTCTTACCGGAGTTTAGCGGTCAGTAAACCATATTTTTCTTCCTCTCGGTCCGACTGCTGTCGGCCTGTCTTGACTAGTGATGCCAACCTCTAAGAATTACTTCTTGCAGCTTCTTACAGTGTATCATGATATCCGGTCAATCCGCACTTATCTTTATAGCTGTTCTCACTCGCGTATCGACTGTGATCTCTACCTTCTCATTCACTACGATTTCCTGAACAGAATTGTTTCGCCTGCGCGGGAATACCATTTTTCCTGCAGTGTCTCAATAGATGCATCGCAGGACCTCATTGTGTCTTCTAGTATAGTCGTGACGTAACATTATTTTGCACTGCCTCGCAAGATGTTCCACCATCTTCATTTGTTCTCTACAACGTTTGCACATACCTTTCTCAGCTCCAAACATATTTCTATCCTGGAGGTAACAGATTATGTTCATCTTGAGGGGTTATGTTTTCCGTATCGAAGCCATTTTGATGAATCAACTATGGACGAGATTTTATTCGTCCGCACCTTGTATAACTTTGCTTGCTGGGTTTTCTTTTCTATTTCGCTATACAAGAGCTCCTTCTGGGCGTTACATTTTCGACAGTACGATTTTCTGCAAGGTTGTACGTAGTCTTCAGATAGGGTACAATAATTGCCAAATACGTGTTATGAGTTTTTTCCTGGTTCAGTATCTCTACCCTTCTAGTACAAATGGGTGCGATATCTACAAGAACATTATGTAGTTGGAGAAGCATGAGCGCACTCTTCTGCTCAATATTATGAAGTGCACGTGCTAGCTCGTCCTTTGGCAGGA